AAAAAAAAAAAGAAATATACAAATATACACAGCGTGCCAAATTCGAAATTGTTTACTACATTTACATAAAAAATACTTATCAATAACCTGTATGTGATGCCTATAGATACGAAGCAATCGTGCACGGGTGTGAAACATATTGGCTTACAGTGGCATATCAGCTTCCATCAAGACTATAGCCTCCTCCGCAGCCGTTATTAGGGTCGTCACGCAACGCTTCTCCCCCACTAACAGAGAGATGATCGGTGACCTTTAAATCTCGAATTTCATTTGCGAAGTAAGGAGGGCTAGATACGATAGGGCAATGTGTACGCTGTGGAATAATTCTTTAACAGCGCTGCCTGAAGGAAAGAGGAGCGTCGAGACAAACGGATAATCTTTAGATAGGACCGAAGCAAGGCTAGAGTCAAAGCGCGAGACGACGCGCGAGAGAACGCGTGTAATGAGCTGTTGCGCCAGCTGCACTGTTATTCGTACCTGCCATGGCCAAGCCCCTGGTTTAGCATCCTGACCTCCAATGACACGTGACTGCGTGATGGGCGTACTGCCACAAGGCAGTTGTTGCCCTGTGGTGAAATAAAAAAACATTCAATAAAATTGAAAAAGGTTCGAGTTAAAGGGACTTGAGAACAAATGACCGGAAATAAGGAAAAAAACGGTGTTTAATGTTTTTGTTTTTGTTTTGTTTTGGTTTTTTGTTGTTTTTTTCTTTTTTTTTTTTTCATGCAGTGTAGATTTTAATCAAATTTAATTACAGAATAGAGAAGTCGAGTGAAAATAAAACAATGCATCTTTAAATTACTGTATAAATTGGAACGTAACGTATTGTGAAAAAATATGACAAAGGAAAGCAGCAGGGAGAAGTCCAAAAACTATGTCGGGCTTCTGGTACAAAGCTACCAGTACCAGTACCAGTGTTACTGGTACTGGCTACTGGTACAAAGCTCATGCTCATGGTTCGAGTTACCGAGAATAAAATTATACAGAAAATGACTGGAAGGGATACACTGAAAACGGCTTTGAGTTAGCGGTAGGTTTGAGTTATCGAGGGTTCAAGTTACCAAGGATAAAATTACAGTAAACGTATGACGGAAACCCAGGGGAAACCGATTTTGGTTCGAGTGAGCGCGAGGTTCGAGTTAGCGAGGGTTCGAGTTATCGGGAGTCTACTGTATCTGAAGATGATAAAATCTTAAGAAAAAGAAAATGTTATACCTTTTACTTTTTGCTTGGGATAAGAACAAGTGAAAGAAAATATCGATTGTCCATCTGTTAATCAAGGAGTCGGTTTTCATGGCAAAAAAACCTTTTTGTAAAGTTCTTATGAACGTTGCGCAATTTCACATTCACTTAATCACGATAGACAACCAACAGCATTAGAGACATCAAAGGCTAGTAAAATTTTACTTCTTCTTACCTGTTACAGCACTTGCTAGTACCAGCAACACCAATACTATCATCTTGAGACGACCAAAGATGAATGCAACAATCAACTGCGCTAGGGCTATATTTATACTTAAAACGTAAAGTAACACTTGGCCTACGAAGACATTAAATTGTCTTCTCTGAAATTAACAAATTGAACCTTGCTGAAACAATTGTGCAAATATTTTTCTTTGTAATGGATGTTCAAAAACGAAAGCTACCGACAGGTTCTCTAAAATCAACAAGTGCGTTAAACTTCCCATTTGGCTTAAAAATCATTTCTACAAGGTAACTAAGTTATTATCTAAACAGCCGTTGGTTGGGTCACGCAGAACAGGAACCGTCCTTTGTGCTATGATTTCATTCAATGCTGAGCAATTAATACTATTAAAGTGGACTCTTTTATATTTCCTTAGCTGTAGCTAGATTTAATGAACACACAAAAAAGGCCTTTCAAAGCAAATAGCGATGATACTCAGAAATCTTTGTCTGTACCCACCCTCAGAATTTTTTTTTAATAACGGCAAAAGTGTTTCTGATCTTGAAATAAGGCATTAGTGAAAATACTGTGGTCGCTATTTTTATTAAACTTCGATGGGTAAATCATTTTGGTATACGCAATACAAAAACAAAATTTATATATTGTGAATGGAAAATAGGTAAAGAGGATTGATTGAACTGAAATGCAAGAAGAGTACCATCACTCTACAGCAACAATAGCGATCGTCTTTGTTTTAATTTCTTTCATCCAATTTAATGAACTCCAGGAGAAGTTTTAAAACGCTGCCTAATGTTAAGAGTACCCAACTGGACAATCTTTACTTAGTCTTGAAACGTATTAATGGAGGCTATTAATCTAACAAATTAATCATTTAAAGCTTTTCTTCTTATGTATTCTAGATAACAATTGATTGCCTTAAACGCATTAGAAATTGTTTACACAGCTTACACCACAAAAACACAAATCCCTGTGTTTTAGTTTGCTTATTCATAGCTAAGACCTCGCTTCCACAATTCTAGTTGGCCTTATATTTGACTAAAATACAGTAGCATCTTCACCTAATTTCTCTTCCTGACCATTATTTATAACTCTTTACTGCTTTATACAGTTACGCTTTCATCTACTCAGCAACTGGCAAAAATAATAGACTTTCGCATTATGTTTTTATCGCAGATTTTTTGTTGTTATAAAGTGCTATCACAAATAATTGAGACGTAACGTTTCCAAATTGCCTGCTTTACACTATAGCTTTTTAATTCTTTAATCCTTTTCTTCTCATATTTATCGTATTTATTTAGTTGAACAGAACTTTCCACTGACAGTCAGCCAGGACACGTTCTCTTGAAATCTTTAGGTAATTCTCCTATAAGTAGCGAGAGACAAGAGACAAGAACAGTAGAAAAAGCGATGGATTCGAATTCTGAAGGGACATCATGGACTTTTTATTTACTTTCTTGAAAAATGTATCCAGAAAGGACTGAATGGAGAAATACCGGTTGAAAGTACAAATTTGGTAATATTTTGCACCAATGTGTGCCATGTGAAATACGTAATTTGGAAAAATGGTGACTTTGGAAATTCTAAAATCAATTTGGCTGTAAAACCAAAAAAACCTTTAGTTTGACCATCTGTCTGAAAACACCTTCACAAATTAAAACGTTGATAGTTAAAAAAACAAATATTGCTGAAAAAGGTGCAACTCTATCGTTTTACATCATTTAATCGTAAAATGTAAATATATGGATGTGCAAACGGAACTGACAAGTATCACATCCTCGGGGTTCATTTTGATCCACTGTTTCCAGATCGAATTTAATTCTGAATAAAACGCATGGTGGTACAGTTCAACCCTTATTAAACGGTCACCCTCAGGGAAATGGGTAGTGGCCGCTTAATAGAGGTAAGAACAATAGAAAAGCCCTCATCGGGACTTTGTTTACTGACCGCATGATAGGGTTGGCCGTTGAAAAAGTGGCCCCTCAATGGGGGTTAGACTGTAGTCTGAAAGAAAATCTAGTCGATAATTTACAATAAATTAAACTCAAACACCGCGTTTTACCTTTAGCACTTTATTGAATCTAAAGCAGTTACACTGCAAAGAGCCATCTCTTACATTTACTGACTACAGCTGTAGCTGGAATTGCACGCTACATTAAACTCCGTTTATCGTTTTATTTACGGTTGTTTTTTAACCTAATACAGATCACATCGGTAACCTATAACAGCTAACATATAAGCAATTAAGTAGTGTTCCATCTTCAGCTTAATATTGTGACACGAACGATGGTTTTAGAGAGCCTTTGTACTGGCCTTCATGGTAATTCAGGAACTACATTAGGAGAGAGAAAAAAGGAAAAATGACAATGAAACGTGCAACACAGGTCAGGTGTTAAAGTATCAGTATACCCCAAATGATCATCATTGGTTGGCGCCGCTTGACGGTCAGCCATTTGACGCAAACCCCAGCAAAGTATATATTTTCTGAAAGCTTAAGAATTGTAGATTACGAAGGTATATTTATTAAAATAAAAAGGATTAAGGTTTTCCGAATAAAGTGCCCTATTTCGCAAAGTACAGAGGTTCACTAATCCAGTTCGTTTCCGGTCGGATTTGAGCGGGAGGATGCGATCAACATCGCTATGTCTTCTTGGCACCTTTCTCTAAAAACAGTGTCGGGAAATTTTGAGTACTTGTCTGATTTGTTTTTGACACGCAGTTGAGAGTTGATGACATGCATTCTCTTCACTAAAATGGTCATAACTTTTGAAAGAAGCAAATACTGGAAATTCCCCGAGACCCTTTTTTTTGCCTGATTATCGGGCAACATTCTCTCGAAAAACGAAACGTTATAAACTCGCCGGAAACGAACTCAAAACGTGTGCGAGCGCTGAAATTTCTGTTTCGAGATACGAAGGAAAATATACTTTGGAGCGTTCTTCCGGTGTAATGAGATAATTACACAAAACGTGTGAAAATAATGACGCGTTGATCGAAGCGTAGGCTCATTTTATGTTACAATATAGCTCGCATTAATTACAGCTCATTACGAAGCGGGCTCAAATGTTGCCTTCGGCGGAAAATCTGAATTCCACCGCTCGTGATCCCAGGTTAGTATGAAAATAATTTTAGCTTCTGTTTCTTCTTTGGCCATCCCCTTTTTTTTCTCTGTTTAGCGTCGTCCGACCGACCCAGACTTTCGCGTTTTCAAAAAAAAAAAAAAAAAA